GGGCGGCCCCGGGGCGGGGGTCGGGCCGCGGGCCCGGGCGGAGCGGGGCGGAGAGGAAGGGCCGCGGGCTTTGTGTGGGGGGTGCGGGGCAGTTTCCCCCCCGGACTGCCAGGCTGCGGGGGTCGCGCCAGCAGGGCCGGCCCGGCTGGGCCAGCGGGCATTCGGTGGCCAGATGGATTCTTTTTTTTTTCTTCCTGTGCATTATGGGGCTTTCCCGTGCTTCCCTGTGCTATTTATGGCTGCACACGAGAAGAAAAACACGCACACTCGGAGATAAATCTATATAACACTCATAATCCAACCACCTCTGCTAACGGGCTGTCCCAGACCACGACAAAATTAAGATAAAAGCTAAGCAAAATCAGCGTTTCTTGTTCAATCAGCACCTGATTTCGATCCTGTGCAGGTAAAAAGTTTGACTTCTGTGTGCTAGATGCCTGGAGGGGTTATCTTATTCCAGCAGCAATCTGGCGGTGGGTTGCGGAGTTATGGTTCCTGCACTATCAGATGCACTGTGGCTCTTTGAAACAACCAGCAGTAAGTCAGAACGGTGAAAAATGGAAGCAGACAGGGCAAAAAATAAAGCATGGTAACAGACTGTGCCCTGGAATCGCCGCACGCTCTGCTATACCTGGCAGCTTAATCTTCTGATACGCAAACCAGCAGAAAACAAAGCTCAAGCTGAGCATATTTTACCTCCTTAAAGATGACATTGCAAATGCGTATTGTAGAATTAAAATAGTTTAGCTGTTTGTAGAGCTCATAGTCGCCACAGTGAAAGGAACGGATGGACAAATCCATTTTCCTGCCATTAATTTCCCTGCATAAGCTTCATACTGAAAGACCAACCAGGCTTTGAGAGGGCACTTGTGTCGATAATTAAAATCCCAAATGTATGAGGTAAACTGAGTGCAAAATGCTGAGCACTTTGAGAGCAAAAAGACCTTGAGCTGGCCTGCTTTATGGGCCCAAGCAGGGAGGTCAGGACCAGTAAGAAAACCTAAGAAAAGTTTATTAGCGTCTGAACACATGCACGCTAATGACAGGAAAAGCAAAAGTTCCTTGTCCATGCAGAAGTTTAAAGTTTAAAGAAAATACATAGAGCTCAGCAGCTTCTCAAATACAGAAAAAAGTCGAGGATGTTTGCAAATTTGCCTGAGAGTCGGTGTTGGTGTGGGTATATCACCGTCAGAGTATGGTAATTCTGCAGAGAGAGCACGGATTGCAGTGAGGCACTTAGGACCTTCCACCTCTGGATGTCGTCCTGCCCAGTGGGATCCCAAAAATGCCCATCCGCGAGGCTGAGGGGGGTTAAATCCAGCGTGACTCTGTTCCATAAGGGGTGGCTGCAGGCTGCGAGCTGGCGTGGGAAAGAATGTCCACCCTGAGACAGCAGTCTGCTTGTGGGGCTTTGCAATAACACATCGGTGCTTGTTAGTCTGCATGTTTGGTATTGAGCTCTTTAATGAGATACCTTGTTTTTCTCACACACATTATATTATATTATATATAATATAGTACATATATATGTATTTGTCTGCTATAAACACTCAGGATGGGCCAAAGCCAATATTTACAGCCTGACCCCGTGTGTCAGGACGTACTTGCAATGCACTAATAAAGTTCAGAAGACAAACCAAGACTTTTTCTAGATGGGTGCTTTATTTTGAAGATTATATTCCTCCTTAAAGTAACTTTCGCGAGAGACAAAGGCTGAGCTTTGCAATCAGTGTTTCTGCACTCTAATCTGCCCTAGATACCCGCTGTGGCCTTGGACAAGTCACATAACCTCGATTGCTCTATTTCTATCGGTAGATTAATGTTTATCTACATATCTCTTGGGGGTATGGCTAGGATTAATTAATTCTTACTCTTTATTACTTGTTAACTGCCTGCAATGTGTGGGATGTAAAACACTTTGAAGTTCAGAAGTGTCATTTCACAAATTAAATGGTGCAAGGAATTGACTATTCCATATAGGTGCAACTACTCTGTATGGTTGGAAATGATTCTTTGTGGGCCATAAACCCTACAGTGGTAACAGCTAAAGGATTTTCTTGTGGCAGAAGATGCTACTGGACTGCAGGTTGTACCAGGAGGGCCAGAGCGATGGGAGTCGTGGCCCAAGGACCGCAGCATGTAGGAAAGCCCTAAGTGGATCTGCATTTGCATCGTCAAGATTATTTCCTATATATTCCTATATATTAAAATATTTTGTGTGCTTCACCACTTTTTCTCTCCAACTGGGATCTCACTGTTTGCTTGCAGTCAGTGGTGGTGGGCTTTACCATCACACGATGATACAGTATGATAAATCCCTGTTCTCTGGTGATTCATCTTTGCGTGGGAACAAGTATGAGATGCTGACAAATTGCACCAGCACTGAAACTCCTGTCTCAGGCACCAACATTTTGATTTTTATCAGTGCTACCCAGGTCTGTAGTATCAAAGTCCTACCACTGTAAGTGAAAGTCTACCCAGATCTCTTTCATCCTCCTGTGACAGATGGGAAAGGGAGACACGAGAGATGAGGTTATTTGCCAAAGGTCCCACAGGAAGCAGAAGCAGGAAAGAACCGTGGAGTCCAACTGCCGTGTGATGCGGAGCCCGTCTTCCTCCTCGGAGAGTCTGAAGAAATTTAGCAAGTTGCTATTTTCAGATTTACTTCCACATGGCTCCCTTCCTGAAAGCTAATGAGGCTGTAGCCTCATTTTCACAGGCGACATGATGGAGGTTTCCCTGCCCCCATATGATGCACAGCACCTACATTTAGATGCGGTTTTGAGGAACGCCGGCTCCCATTCCAAAACTCCCACCAGTGATTTTCAGGCTGACTCCAAGCTAATATAATCCATCCCTTAGAGAGCCGTACCAAAGCGACTAGTGTTAATCTCCACCACCCAGAGACCGCAAAGCTATGTCAAAAAGGTGTTAAACCAGGCAGAGTTTGTTTTCCTGGAATGACCAAGGGGAAGAAATCCACTGCACAGAGGGGTCCCTGTGGTTGAGGAACCCCGTCAGCCATCAGGACATCGGCCGACTATAAACAGACAGAGTGAATGTCTGCCCAGTCTTGCCCGTGCCTCCCCTGTGCCTGCTGGTCGTGCAGGTCCTTCAGCAGAGCTCCAGGGGCACAGGGACCCCACTCCCAGTGCCTCGGCACACATCTCTGCACAGGAAATGCTGGGATGGGCAGCCTGAGCTCCTCAGGAACTTCCATCGATTGGAAAACATATTGCTGCAGAGAGCGGGTTATGTTTCTCTCCTGACCCCCTGCCAAGACCAACTCCTGCTCCTATGGACTGCTTTTGCAGGCTCTTTATGTCTTCTCTGTTGATAACAGAAAGAAAGGTGATGTTTCAGCTTCCTTATATACGTTTCTGCAAAGCTCTGTGGCTTCAATCCTCAATAGGCTAAAAATCGCTATTTAATATTTAGCATCGGAGATGGTTGTAAAAATCTCCAGGTGTGGTGAATTCTACTGCAGGCAACCCACAAAATTCCCCCAAATATTCCTTGCAGGCAGTTTTGCTTTGCCCAGAACGCACCACTGGCACTACCCTCTGCTGCCAGACTGTCTGCTGAGGGTGTTGTTTTGCAGGGACCATGGAACTATTTTGCTTTTTAGCCTGAAGACCTTGAAAATGGATAAATGAATCAGTCTGGAGTTTAATCAGATATTTCTCTTGCTGTTCATGTCTTTAAAACCAGAACTTTGTGAAGTTATGTTTGTCAGATACTTAATTTCTTCAGGAAGGGAGTTGCTCTAAATTCAGGTTATGGGTATATAAACAGTTCCACTACAAGTTCCATTTCTTGCCTGCACTGGAAATCAAGAACTTAACACACCTAATTTTTAACTGGGTAGAGGGAGCATGTATCTTAAAGTATTAACTGTTGGCCAGAGGTACCGTCATGATGGGCCCGTGTGAGGGCAGCTGGCAAGTGAGCTGTCCACTTGCATTTTCTGTTTCGTGACAGCTTTATTGCTGCTTCTCCCTTTAAACACGCTTCTCATTTTTAATAAATATTCTGCAAGCTGTTCTGAAAGCAGGGATTTTTTAACTCGCCATCCCAACCAGCACCTGTCAACTTAAATTCCCTGAATCTTACCGATTGGTATGTATTGCTTTGTCACATCAGGGAGGTTTTTCTAATGGTCAAAATATACATTAAAAACAAAAAAAAATTAGTCTTGATTACTAAAGAAACAAAAGTGAAACACTGCTTCCCTCCTGTGGTGACCTTTCTGATTGCACACTGAAGCACTATATTTGTACAGACAAAATAAATTGCGCATTTAAAGTGATTTTTTTTTATTATTGTTACTCTGACGACATTCGAAGAATATGGCTTTCTCGCTAATCTGCAGCCAAGCAGTGTTTCACGTCCCGCTGTTATTGTTACAGCGCTGGATTTAAGTTTTCTTTTCAATGGAGCATTGCGCAT